TTTTTTTTTTTTTACATCAAGGTTTAAAGATTTATATTTCATGTAAATTTAAATCTCATTAGAACACTAACAGGAGTCTTCCATTGATGAAGCCTCTAACATAGCATTAAAGAAAAGGTGTATATGGAAGATGGCTAGAACATCCCCACTGCATGAAACTGAAAACCTTTTTGTTAACATTAACACACTTAAGACTTTCTTATAAACAAGAGGCAAAGCTATATTGGTTCTATTTTTTCAAAATCATAATGATTGAAAGTAAAAGTCGTATCTTGCTTCTGATTCATAGGTTATTATTCTTAACAGAAAACACAAGGAGTTTTAGTGATAAACATGTCAGAAGTATTTCCTGATACATGAAACATTTGATTTTTTTTTTAATAGTGACCATCATTATCGGCTATTTTAAGCTTGCAATAAACTACATCATTATACTTCCATTCCAACTATTATATCTCAATACCGTACAATATATACAACACTTCTAAAGTATTCAACGCACATTTAATTAATTTACCTTGGTCAAGTCGATTTATAAGAGTTCGACAGGCTGCTTCCGTTTCAGGACTGGGGTTGTCCAACACCTGCCGGCACCATTTCAGAGGCGATTCTGTTTTCTGATCTGCAGTGGATTTTCTTGGAGACGCATACAACCTTGAGTAAAAATGGATTAAAAAAAGAATGCTGAATAAATGTGAATTAAAAAACGCTACCTTCCATATTTTTATAGTAGAATGTTTTCTGAAAATAATTACAACACCAAGAGACAAACAAAATCTTTCGTTTTGTTTGGATAGCTTTATGTACCACAATTTGAAATGTAAACTCTGAGGTATGAAATACATTTACCTGTATGGTAGTTTGGTTTACTTCAGTGAATGTCTGTGGCGAGAGTGGTGAACTTTTGGATAGGTAGGTTTAGATATTACTAGAATATGCCTTTTTCCTGAGGTCTCCAGGTTTGTATACTATTATTCTTCCTCCATAGCTACTCCAATGCTGCCACACACACACAATAAACATGTTGGTTATAAGAACCTGTAAGTAATTTTGATGCACCTTTCTAATCTGTCAGGATGGTCAGATAGGTCATCTTCAGGCCAAATATGACAATATTTTTAGATAAGCATGGCACTACCAATGAAAATGGAGCATCAAGATCCCAGATTCTGGACCCAAAATAAATAAAATTAATCAATAAATCTATCATGCAAAAGTAGGGGCTAATATAGTGTGAATAACAACATAATGCACCTGGTTTGAACATTTAATCTTAGTTTGAAGTCTTTTTACCCAATAGATAAAGAAGCAAATTTGTGGAGAAATTTAGAGCCAAATCTGGTCTTAATTTACTTGGGGGAGGGGAGGGTGGCATGTATGGAGGCAGGGCAGGGTTGAAAGTTACAAGAGAAGGGAAGATAACTTCCACTTTAATCCTCAAGTTGCACACGTTTACTGACATACCCCACACACCCTTTTCCAAAAAAAGAAAGAAAGAAATAACCAACCTTCCAAAATTGTGGGGCATGTCTTAATCAGGGAAGCTTCCTCCTGCCCCTATTGCACCTAGGAAGGAAGCACCCCACTTTAATTCTTACTCCACCCAAAGTTTAAAACCAACTGCCCAGCAGCAGCAGTGGCATTTCTATTCAGGCAACTGAGGGACCATCATTCTTCACTCCACAGGTATTAATGCAAGTCTTTCTTTTTTAACGGTCTTGGTGGAAACTAACTTTTCTCCCTGCAGTTTTCCTGCCTACTGATTACTCTTATTTCACACCCCTTCACACTGTTTTTAGCTCTATCCAAAATCATAGATCTACCCATGGAGACCAGTGGTCAGCAGAAGCTACCATTTCAATTTTTGGCTTAACGGGAAAGGGCAAGTGAGCTGAAAATTAGGCTCTGTCCATGTGCTATACAGCCATAACTCTGAAAAAAAATATCCCCCTTCATTTTTCCTTCCTACAAACAAGATGCCCATCTTATTTGTGGGTGTAAGGTATATGAGAAAATATGGTATTTTCCCCTTCCCCTAGACCTTACAAGTATTTCTAAAAACAAACTAAATAGCCCACAAAAAGGTTTTATAGTTTACCAGCACAGCAAAATAACTCCCCCACCCCCCAACTAAACAAATGGCATTAAGGTTAGAATTGTGTATCTGTAACATAAAGAAGGGATACTTTATGTACCCATAATGAAGTGGCAAAGCCAACGCTGGGGGGGGCAGGGTCCAGGGTAAATCAGCCTGTGCGGGGCCCCCTTAACACTTCATGGGGCCATGGTACCCTCACAAGGGGGGGAGCGGTGTCTCTGTGCTTCTTCCACAGCGCCGGGCTAAGCCACCAGCTCCAGACAGGCCCTGTGGGAGGGGCCACAACCACTCTCCACAGCTCCGTGGGTCCCCCTGCTCCCTAGGGACAGCTCTGTGAAGGGGTAAAGCAACATTCCAGGCACATTTTTCTCATGAAAGAGTAAAATTCAGCTTAACAAGGAATACAAGGTATTTGCTTTCAAAAACTAGGAATGGATATAGGTTTTATCTTCAGAAAAGGCCCTACCAACAGACAAATACTTGTTGCTGTTTAGATTTTAAATGCATAAATATGACTAACATTTTATGTTGTCCAAAACTGTCACAAAAAGTCAACATCAATATTTTAAGATTTAACATATCCTTAATCAGTATAAGTGTTTAATTTGGAGTTGGGAACACACTTATATCTTATTGACTTGCCTGTAACTATCAACTAGGATCTGATGCTTCTTATAAACAACATCATGATCAATCATTCTTTAGGAGAGGCTGCCCATAACAGCCATAAAATTCCTAATACAGCAAGTGTACTCTGTTGTTTAAACATTTAAAGGTTCTCTATTTATACTTATTCTTTATGTTTCCCTGCCATTCTATTGATGTGTTACTTTAGGAAACTATCAAATATTGCATTCTGCCTGAGAGAATCGAAAGGACCTGGGCTGCTGGGAAAAAATAAGCCGTATATTGGAGTTGGATCTTAAACTATTCACCTTATGAAAAACGGAGATTGAGAAGCAATTTGATCACTGTGTACAGATACACATGGAGAAAACGTTTGATATTTGACAAGGACCCAGAGAGCTGTAGTGAACGGGTCAGTGTCATCCTGGCAAGAAGTGGGCAGCAGTGTCCAGCAGAGGTCGGTGCTCGGTCCAGTACTTTAACATCTTTATTAACAATTTGGACGTAGAGGTAAAGAGCTCACTGGCCAAGTTCATGGATGGCACCAAGTTACGGGGAAGCAAGGTCACACTTGAAGATAGGCTACAGTTACTGGTGGACCTAGACAGGCTATCAAGTTGGGCGGATCGGAACCTGATGAAGTTCAACGTTGAGAAATGTAAAGTGCTCCACCTCGGGACGACCAACCCCCAACACACCTACAGGCTTGATGGCAACAAACTGACTAGGCACCTTGAATGAAAGAGACCTGGGAGTAATAACAGACCACAGTATGACTATGAACTGGCAGTGCGATACTGTAACCAATAAGGCAAATAATACTCTGGCATGCATCAATCAACCCATCTCCAGCAAAGCCAAGGAAGTGATTCTTCCACTCTACTCAGCACTGGTGAGACCCCAGCTAGAGTACTGCATCTAGTTGTGGGCACCTGACTTTAACAAGGACATGGACAAGCTGGAGAGTCCAGAGAAGAGATCAGAATGATCAGAGTCTCACATGGCAAGCCATACAAGGAAAGGCTGAGGGATCTGGGACTCTTCAGCCTGAGGAAAAGCAGGCTCAGATGGGACCTGGTAGCAGTTTACCACTACCCTAGGGGAGTACATTAACGGCTTGGTGAGCATCTGTTCACCAGGGCACCCAGGGAGAAAACTAGGAGTAAAGGCCACAAACTCCTGGAAGACCAATTCAGGCTCAACATTAGGAAAAGCTTCTTCATAGTCAGGGTATCCAGACTGTGGAATAAGCTCCCCCAGAGGCGGTCCAATCGCCTTCCCTGGAAATCTTCAAGAGGAGACTAGACAGTCACCTTGCTGGGGTCACCTGACCCCACGTTGTCTTTCCTGCTTGGTGCAGGGGGCTGGACCCAATCTTCCAAGGTCCCTTCCAGCCTTACAATCTATGACATAAGGCTCAAGGGTTGGAAGCTGCAGTTAGACAAATTTAACCCGAAAATGCACAACTGCCTAACAGTTGGGATAACTAAACACTGGTACAACTCACCAGAGGAAGTAGAAGACTTGCCATAATTTTAGATCTAAAATGATTTTTTCCCCCTAAAAGACATTTTTCAGTGCAGCTTTTGAGAGAGTCTTTGGCTTATGATTATGGGGAGTCATGCTGGATGACAGTAGTGATCTTTACAACATTAGAACTGGTTGAACCACACTGATCCAGGTTCACGTCCTGCCTTCACAAGGCCTGAGGAGGACAGGATTGCTAGCACTGCCCTTAACATACTCAACATGCAGCCATGCATTAAGCTAATAAATTATCATTGTGTCAAGGATCAACCAGTTGTCTATAGGGATCAGGAAGGACTTTCACATGCACCAGTGCATAATTTGACTGCTAAGGGCTTCCAATTAGGGCCCTGAGTATAGTAGAGCACTGATCTATGGCAATATAGAGTATACCCCCTCAGCTGAGGTCAGGAGGAGGGGATGGAGGGATTCAACTTCTTCTGCAACGTGAATGACTTACGTAACCTGGAGAAATGGTCTAAACTCAATCAGCTGAAATTCAACAAGGACAAGTACTAAAAGTCCTGCATTTGAGATGGAATAATTGCCTGTACAAATGCAGACTGGGGTAAGACTGGGAAGGTTATGGTACTGCAAAGAAGGACCTGGGAGTTATGGTAGACTATAAACTGAATGAGCCAATAAGGTGCTTTAGTTACAAGTAAAGCCAGCAATATACCCGGTTTCTTATGATCCTATAAGATATATTAAATCCCTTCTCCTACAATACTCTGATTAGCAGTTTATTCATTAACACTTTTTTTTTTTTTTTTTTTTTTT